GGCGTTGTCCGTACAGCCCCAGCCATTCCACCCTGTGAGCAGCGGACAGCCCCATCACCGAGAAACCCCTTTCCATCCCCCTACGGAGACCGCGTCTCACGGGGCACCGTGGCAGTAGCGAGGACAGGAGGGGAGGACCCCGGGGAAGGGCTCTGGGTGTGGGTTCCCCTGGGCAGCTCTCACCTGCTTTGCACTCGCAGGCAGCGTACAGGTAGTTGTTGGTGCGCAGCAGCTTGCACTGGCCGTAGATGCCGCAGTCGTTGATGCAGGGCGAGAGGTAGGCGCGCAGGTAGACCTCAGCCGTCACGTTGGCGCAGGGCTCGAAGCTGCCGCGCAGGAGCACGGCGTCAGCACGCTGCCCACGCACCCCTCCAGCCCAACAGCCTGCCCCGTGCGCCTCAAACCCCCCGCGCAGCCCCCGTCTCACCAACGGCACCCACAGCCCTGCTGCGCTCCGTGCAGCACCAGGCTTTGGTGGCAAGGGGAGGCACAGGGCTTGCAGAGCGCAGAAATGAGGCGGTTTGGTGCCTGGCAGGACACCTTGGAGCTGGTCCTCAAGGGTCTTTGCAATGCAACTGCCTGTGCCAGGCCAGCCAAGTAGAAGGGACCGTGGCTATGGTTAGACACATGTTGCCTTTAGCTACACACTCAGCTGGCTCTGATTTTGTCTGGGTTTTGCTGTGCAAACACAATGCCCTGCAAAGCATTTTTCTGCCTGTATCAGGAGAACTGAATGCAACCGGCAACCTAAAGCGAACTGGAAACACAGCGGGGCAGCTGGATTGTGCAGAGCACCCCTGCCACCACTCACCCATGCACACAGCTCCCCACACGCCTCTCTTGCACACCCTGCACATGTGCAGCCTCCAGCGAGCAGGGACACGGGACGCACATGCCTGGGTAACCCACATGTGCCTGCTGTTCATGTATGGGCTCGCACAGCCAAATTTGCAGACGCATGTGTGAAGAATACACACAAACCCGCCTGCCTGCACCTACCCAAACAGGTAGAGAGAGCCATTTACACCCATGACCCAAATACACACGCAGCATTATCTGCATGCATGCACCTGGGCACACACTCTGCACCATCTGCAGGGTGCACGGCCTCACATGGACACTCACATGCGCAGACACACGCACGCGAGAGCCTCTCTCCTCCCCAGGGCTCTCAGCCAGACACACAGGCCAGCAGCAGAGCGGCAGA